TAAAATCGTTGTGTCCAACTACTTCTAAAAAATAAATATTAAAAGAAAGTATTTATGTGTTTATTATTGGTGGTAGGGGTAGCCCTTGTAAGTGAATGGCCCCAAATACCACGGGTCCTCTGTCTTGGTGTAGGATTTGGGCTGTGTCTAAGTGGTTTTTCTGACTTTAGGTCCAAAGTCACAGCTTGCCTTGAGGTAATCACATAGTCTCTGCATTCATTTCAGATTTTTTGTGTATAAAATGTGGAAATAGTAATGTCTGCTTGGGGTAATTTAGCAAGGGAGACCAGATCTCAGGCCTGCTGGGTTGCTATAGAATAAAGCAAGTCAGTATCAAAGTCAGGAGCAGAGGCAGGGCCCCAGGGTTCTGTGAGAGCTGAGATCTAGTCCAATTTGAGACTTTGCAGCAACATCTTTTAGTGTAGCATAGGAGTGTGAGCAAACCCCTCTACCCGCCTTAGTTCTTATGTGTGCTCCTTCGCTGGCTCTAGGAACCCACTCAATGTGACAGCTTGATTGACAAGACAAAAGCATGAAAGTTAAATCTACACGTACACGGGGATCTTCACAAGAGAGCGAAGTCTGAAGAAATTCCCACAGCATGTTGCTTTTATACTTTTTAGACAAAGAACAATACATCTGTGATGACAGGACAAATAGATATGGGGCTCAAGCCCCATAAAATCTAGGGATATTACTAGGAGATGGCTGGGGGTAGAAGTCAGTGGAAGAGACGGGCTACGTTGGAGCTTTATTCAGGTTCGCTGCAGCCCCATTACCAGTCTGTTTTCCAGGATTGGTATGGAGAACATCCCTCCCCAAAAACTCTTTACAGCAGGCTGCATGTAGAGAAAGTCAGACCAAATGGCCCTTTTTGAGTTATAGTTCCTCATCTGATTTCAGCTGGAAAATATCAATGTGCCAATTCAGCATATTTTGCCTTAACTCTTAGTGGGATTGTCCCATGGATCCTCATATTGTCACATGATGTCTAGGCAGCCAAGAGTTACCATGAAGCAATGTCTTGCAGGGTCACCTGTTCTCATCACAGCTATCCCTGTGCCATGCATAGCTAAGTGTCTTGAGGTGTCTGTGATCTAAGACCTGAGGAGGAAAACTAATGTCTCATGTTTGTTCCATCTCTTTTTTCTCTGAACAGTTCTTTGAGTTCCAATTGTGTAACAAGCCTCTTGTTTGTGGTACCCTAATGAGTGAATCCCAGACACTACCCATGTTGGATGGAGGGTGTACTGAGAGAGCTATCTGCTAACAGGTGGTTAGGTGATGAGCTTCCTCTGAGGTATCCAAAGCACTTTGTGGGTTGTGATATTTGTGGTTAACCTCAGACACTGGGCTTCCCTGACTCACAACCAGCCTCATCTCTGAGATGTGAAGACAGCACCCACCTTTCCTTTCTCTGGAGATTGAAGTGAGGTAACACTGAGACTTATGGGGAAACTCACATGTCTTAAGGTTGTCCTGCAAGTCCCCAGCAGTGTGTGGTGCAAGATGGTGGGTCAGCCAGGGCTCAGGGTTCAATGTGCAGCTGTGAATTTCAGATTTGCCTTCGTTAGACCAGTATAACTAAGTCCTTTTAACCATGACCCAGACTTTCTTCTCTCACAATAAGTCTGTCACTGGAGTTGAGTGAATGCCAGTTGAGTGAATTCTAGTTATTTCTCTTGCTAACTGTGTGAGCTTACAGAGATTACCTAACCAGTCTGAGTCCCAGGTTTATCATCTGTAAAATTAATATAATAGTACATATTTCATAGAGTGTATATGAGGATTAAAGGAGATAGTTTGGATAGAGTGCCAGGCACATAGTGACTACTGTAATATCTGTCATTATCAGGACTGGATAAGAAATCCTAGAAAGGTCACTGAGAATCAGTAAATCAATATAAGGTTCCTCCCAGGCCATTTCTGTGGTTGGTTGTGCTGTGGTTGCAGTCATATGGATCCACCTAGAACACAGGGTGGTTGAGAGATAATGGAATGTCATATTTTCACTTGTGATGAGTAATGAAGGTACTTGATACTGAATATCACCATATTATGTTAAAATACGGGAATACTATATAGCCTTAAAAAGGAAGGGAATTCTGACATTTGCTGTCACATGGATGACCCTTGCGAATGTTATGCTGAGTGAAATAAACCAAACACAAACACACAAAAACCATATGATTCCACTTGTATGAGGTATTAAGAGTAGTCAAATGTATAGAACAGAAAGTATAAGCATGGTTACCTGGGGTGGAGGAGGAACAAGGAGGCATTATTTAATTATACAGAGTTTCAATTTTGCAAGATGAAAAGAGTTCTGGAGATGGTTTGTGAATATACTTAGCAGAAGTGAAGCGTACATTTGAAAACTGTTAAGATAGTAAATTTTAGGTGTATTTTAGCATAATTTAAAAAATAAAATTAAAAACTATTTATCAAGCAGGTACCTGTTGTATTCCTCATGACTAAAACACTCAGGGTCACTCTAGGTGAACTGGGCTGCACGAAATAATCACACAAGAGGCAGAGGTACCTTTTTCTTTGGGTCCTGTGACTGCTCCTCTGACCTTAAGGGTCTGCAGAGAGAGAGAGAGAGAGAGAGAGAGAGAGAGAGAGAGAGAGAGCTGACCCCTTTTATTGAGGAGAAGCCATTCAAATGAGGCAAGGGGTCAGGTTTCAGGGGCCTGAGTCTAGCTTCGTGATATCTGCTGTCAGCAAGTGACTGACATCTAGGAAGGCCACACCCAAGGGCAGAGCAAGAGAAGGGGACACACAAAGGGCGTTTCCATGGAATATTCTATCCCAAACAGGGCAAAGGGGGTAGTGTTACAAAAGAATAGGTGAGTGTAGCTCAACCCCATGGGTGACATTCTTACACCTGAAGACACACTTTCTACTTCCCAGGCTGGGACAGTGCCCAAGTCACCACAAAATGTAGTGGTTGGTCAGAGCCTCTTGCTTCAGAACTGGAAGGCGTGGGTCATTCAGCGTGGCTCCCCACATGTACTAAGTGTCAGGCATCGTACCAGGCACCAAGAGAGCCAATGTCAAAACCACCATAGTGCCTGTCTCCCATTACTGAATTTATAGACTGGCAGGGGAAACACATATTGAACAGGGACTTGACCTGGTCAGGAAGGACAGATGAGGCCAAGAGTAGAGGTGAGATATAGTAGAGAACACTCCAGAAAGAGAGAGCAGCATGTGCACAGGGCTCAGGGAGGGCCACAGGAAGGGTACTGTTTGTCTTTGAGCAGAATGGGCAACCACTGAGGTCTTTGGACAAAAAGTGGAGAGAGACAGGCAGAAGAGCAGGTTTGTGCTTTAACAGTCACTTGGGAGGGATGGTCTTTCTTACATGGTGAATCCTTTCAAACTCTCGACAGTTTTTCTTAACTGGGCCCTTGCAGTAGTTCCCATCCTGGTTTTTGCAAATCCCCGGCAAGAAGACCCAGGGAGACCCACATCCCTTCAGCTGAAATAGTCACAGATTATAATCCAGCTGACTAACTACTACCAATGTATTCCATCCTCCTACCCTGAAAAGCACGTCTCTGTAAGTGAACTGTCATAGAAAGAAAGACTTAAAAAAAAAAGAGAGTTAAAAAAAAGTATCAAAGATGATTGAATTCGACTATAATTGCAGCCTGGTGGTTCTCTTGGGCCGTTGAGAAGTGGATGAGTATAAAATACTTATAATTAATAAATCATTTCCTATAGCATTTTTTGCCTTCATTATAGCAAAATCAATAATTATGCTCTAATTAATATTTTAACATAATTTGTGTTCTTTTGACAGAAATACTGAGTTAGACTTCTCTTTCTGATAAGAGCTTATTGAATATAATTTGTATACTATAAAATTCATCTATTTTAAGTGTGTGGCTTGAGTCATTCTAGTCCTGAGATAGTTTCTCTTTCATTTGAACTTGAGGAAACTATCCTAATATAGGCACACCAGCCTGAACCTTTAAGAAAATTCTTAACACTTAGATTTGGAAATGAACCATGAGTAGCTCAAACTAGGTCATGAGATCTCATATGATTAATTTTACCTATCACAGAATATATTAGGAGATACTTTAATTCCATTGTATATCTCTCTATATGTACACTACAGCTTTTATGTATGTATGTATGTATGTATGTATGTATGTATGTATTGGGAGGAGGACTACTAGGGATGGAACCCAGGAGCACTAAAGCACTGAGTCCCATCCCCAGCCCTTTTTAATATGTTATTTACAGACAGGGTCTCACTAAATTGCTTAGGGCCTCACTAAGATGCTGAGGCTGGCTTTGAACTCATGATCCTCCTGCCTCAGCCCCTCAAGCCACTGAGATTACAGGCATATACCACCACACCCAGCTATGCTATAGCTTTTATCATCTTGCCAAGCAGTATCTCAATCTGATGTAAATGTTGAGCCTTGGCATCATTTTCTATATGTCATGACTGAACAGTTTAATATGATCAAATGTTCCTTGGCTGCTATGGAGTTTTGAGAACCTCCTGAGCTCCAGATTGGAACATGAAGAGAAGCAATTGTATAGACACTTGGCACGGCTGGGAAACCAGGCTTCACTGTGCAATGATCAAGTGTATTCATGAGTCTGAAAGGCAGGGACTGGCAAGTTAATTAGCCTTTTCTTTTCTCCAAGTGTTTCTGCTGTTCAAATCATTCCTGCAGGCTGCAGCAGCCTGACCGCCATCACTGTCAATATTAGCAGCAATGAAGCTCTCAAGTGTCCAAGGCTCTCTCACACAGTTATCTGTTGTTTCAAGGACTCAGGGCAAGGACTGAAGGGAGGCATTTCCTGGTGCCCAGGATGGTACTACCCTGCACCCTAGAACTGCATAAGCATTTGGCAGGTTCACTTCATTGACCTATCCACTGTGTTATGGACTCATACTCCCAGGAGATCCTTTTTCTTTCAGGTGTTGCTTTTGAAGTTAGCTAACTGTGTTTTTCACTTGTTTTGCCTTATAGGAACTGGTGAAAGTGGGAAAAGTACCTTTATCAAGCAAATGAGAATCATCCATGGGTCTGGATACAGCGATGAAGATAGAAAGGGGTTCACGAAGCTGGTTTACCAAAACATATTCACTGCCATGCAAGCCATGATCAGGGCCATGGACACCCTGAGGATACAGTACGTGTGTGAGCAGAACAAGGTAAAGTGCTGGGGGCTTTGGCTCTGTTTGTGAATGTACGCCATCCTGCTCTGGTGAGTGGATGTCTTTGAACAAAGGGATTCACCGAGTGCTTTAGTCAGATGCCAAAAGCAGCTCTTGAGCTCACATTTTTGAGATGGAGACGCTTGAGAGAAGTAAGGTGGACTTAATTCTGTTGTCTGAAGTTCTGTAGAAAATACCATTGATGATGCTTCTGAGATGCTTTGCAGTGTACAGTGATTCAGAAGGCTGAGCAGTTGTCAAGGTTGCTTATCTCAGGCAGCAGAGAAGGAAGGTGTACACATTTCCTTTTAATCCTTGAGACCTAGTTAATTTCTGCAGTGGAAAGTGGAGGAGATACTGGGTTTACAGTGGACAGCCTTTCAAGAATTTCCAGTCTTTGGAAATATTTTCACTAATACGCTGCCAACTACTCCAAGAAATCAATGGGGTTTGTTTATGTATGTTGGGAATTAGCTCTTCTTGGGAAAAAGAGAGAGTTTACCAGAGCAATGCCAATATCCCAGCTGGCGAAGTGCTGAAGTGCTCTCATGAAGTGGTGGTGTCCATCTGGCATTTGCTTTCCCGTGGCCACTGGTTGTAGAAAATACAAATCTGCTTAAGATCAGAGGAAGGTAATGAGGTGGGAGGGTGGGAGGAGAAGGAAAATAAAGTTTTATGTTGTATATTGGAATGCAAATCCATAGGAAAACAATACTGTGTCTGAGTTCATAAGAATCTAGACTAGAAATAAGAGGTTATTTTAAATAATCAATACCAAGGTATGAGATGATGTGATGAAGAGGAAAATTCTCTTTTTCAAATGGGTCTTTCACAGATCTATTTAAAAAGAATTTAGCAGCTATAAGCCAGAATTGCATGGACTTTATTTAGTATAACTTGACCATGAACTTGTGGACCCTGCATTTGTGTGTGTGTGTGTGTGTGTACATACACGTATACATGACAGAGTTTCAAAGCAATAAAAAAATTACATTTTTATTCCTTGGTGACTGGCTTACATAGGAAAACACAATACACACAAATGTTGGACATACCTTTACATTATCTCTGCAACTTTGCCTACCACCGTTTTCTTGCAGTCTAAAAATCTCTTAAAGGAAGGTGTCTTCCCTACAGTTTCTACCTTCAACAGTGCTGTGCCGAAAAGTATGTGAGGTGAATTGGGACAGGTTATATCTGGTGCCAAGGAATGCTAGAGGTGCACGTTAAGCCATGGGGGAGATTCTAGAAGTGTCTGGGATGATCCCTTTCTCCTTCGCTTTTGAGTACATGCATTTTCTTTTTGAAGGCGTATACTTCATCCTTATTCGCCTTCTATGATATCTTCTGAAAATCAGGCATTCCATGGGGATGAGGATTACTTCAGAGGAGAGTCATGGCAGGAATGACCTTCTGGTGACTTCAGTTCATCTGTTTACCCTGGTGTAAAATGTATTTTGCTGGCCAGTCAGAGTGGGGGGACTGGGTGAAGCCTGCAATCCAGGGGTAGGTTTGTAACTGAACTCTTGGGAAGAGAAGGCTGAGTGGGAGCCGGTTCTGCCCACCTCAGCTACATGTGTCTGTGAACCTGATGGGATTGGTGACCAAGGCCTCTGGGTTCCCGTCTGTTATGTTTTCCTCCACAGTCTTCTAGAGGTACCTTGAGTTTATATTTTAAACAAAAAGATGTTGTGGGGTTTGACTTTTCACTACTTTCCCTTTCTGTTGTTCTTCAATTCTTTCTCCTAAGGCCATCTCCAGTTTTCACTCATCTGCTTCAATGTCCTAGGGACACTGTCCTTGGCTGTCACAAAGGACCTCAAGCTGGGTGACTTAAAAAAGAAACATACCCCTCTCCCCAAGTTCAGGATACCACAGATCTAAAATCAAGGTTGGTTGGTTCCAAGGAGAGGCTCTGAGGAAGAACTGATCTCCTGCTTCTCTCCCAGGGTCCAGGGTCTGGTGGTTGCTGGGAATCTGTTGTTTTGTAGGCATGTCACCCTGGTCTCTGCTGCTGTCTTCACACAGCACCCTCCCCCGTGTCTCTGTGTTCATATGGTGTTGTCCTCTCTATGCCGATGTCCAAATTTCCCTCTTCTTATAAGGACATTAGTCATCGGATTAGGGCCCACATTAATCCAGCATGACCTCCTCTTAACTTGATTACATTTACAAAACGCTGCTTCTAAATAAGGTTACGTTGTTCTGAACTTCAGTGGGCCTGAACGTTAGAGCCAACGTTGTTCAACCCAGTATGCTCTGCCGTCCAGCTTCCAAGGTTCACATCCACCCTAAATGCAAAATACGGTCACTCCTTCCCAACATCCCTGAAGGTCTTAACCTATTCCAGCATCAACTTTGAGTCCCAAATAGAATCTAAATGTCAACTCAAAGAGCTTCAAGTTCCATTGTCTACATCAGGCGTGGGAGAGAATCTGGATATGATCCATACTTGGCAGGATTCCTCTCCATTCACCATCCATGAAACTGGGAAACCAGTCAGCTATACCTCCTGCCTACTCCCCTTCTGCTATATCTGGCTGGTTCCTTCTTCCTTTTTACTTCGAATATCTAGATTAGTGCTCCATAAACTTTCTCTTGCCCTTCAGACAGATGCCTAGGAAGAATCACATGCCGGAATGACTTAGAGAGAGGCAGAAAATTGAGTGGAAAGAACACTGGATTGGCTCTCAAAAAGCTGGGCTCTGCTCATGGCTCTCTGTGGGTCTAGGGCAGAAGTCAGCAAACTTTTCCTATAAAGGGGCAGAGATTCAATATTTTTGGCTTTGTGGGCTGTCCTGTCTGTCACAACTATTTAGCTCTGCTTTTGTAGCATAAAAGCAACCACAGGCAATATGTAGAATGTGAACACTAGAGCATGGCCGACTTGTAAACTCTATTTACAAGACATAAAACTAACCCAAACATACACAACACACACATACACACACACACACATACAATAGCAACACAAAGGCTATTCCCAACTCACTGACCAAATAGAAATTCATTCAAGCCACAATCAGATTGTCTATGGACTGTGGATTGTAGACCCTGGCCCTAGGGGGAGATGGAACACATTTTTCTATCCCTCAACTATTGAATGCAGATGACACGCACTGTGTCTACTTCATAAGCAGATCCAAGCAACAAGGAGTTCAATACAGAATAAATGGTACCCAAGAAATGTTAGGTTATGACTGGACAAGTTCAAAACCAAACATGCACTCATTATTTCTTCTAGTGCTTGTCTAGGCCAATTTCATCCATCTCTTCTCTGTTGTTTTTCTGTGGGGTATTATTGATTCTTATAATTTTCTCTGTGGGCTAGTGCTATGGTTTAGATATTAGGTGTCCCCCAAAGGCTCATATGTAAGGCAATGCCAGAAATGATTGGGTTATGAGAGCCTTAACCTAAAGTGCATTAATCCCCTGAACGGGATTAGCTGGATGGTAACTGTAGGCAGGGAGGGTGTGGCTGGAAGAGGAGGTCCCTGTGTCTTTGATGTATATATTTTGTTGGTGGTGAAGGGAGCACCTCTTCCTCTGCCTCGTGCTGGCCATGTCCTGAGATTGCTTTCTTGCACCACACCCTTCTGCCATGATATTAAGCCTCATGTGGAGCCCCAAGGAATGGAGTGGCTGTCTATGGATTGAGATCTCTGAGCCACCAAATAAACTTTTCCTGAAAATTGTTCTTGCCAGGTCTTTTAATCATAGCAGCAAAAAAAGCTGAATAAAACAGCAGATACCATGCTTAGGTCATAAAATAATAAAATGATTAACATTTTAGTATAGTCTATAATTAGTTTAAGAAATATGCTGTATGTTAGCTTCTTTACAACGTACTGCATAACTTGAGATAATTGATTAGTTAAGGTGGGGATAATACTGTAGGTGTAGCTTAGTGGTAGATTGCTTGCCTAGCCTGCACAAGGGGCTGGATTTGATCCCCACCCAACCCCACTCCCCAAAATATAGAGGAAAAGACGGATGAACAAAACCTTAATTAGGAAAAAAAAAAACCTTAATTAACTTTATTTTGCTCCACTGAAATGCTTCCCTTGATTCCTGTTGCTGAGTATTTATTTGGACCATCTGCTTTTTGGTGTGTGTGTGTGTGTGTTTCTCTATTTTTTTTTCATAGCTAGGAACACTTTCTTAAAAGTATATAGGAAAGGGCTGCAGTTGTAGCTCAGTGGTAGAGCACTTGCCTCACAAGTGTGAGGCGCTTGGTTTGATCCTATCACCACATAAAAACAAATAAGACATTGAGCCCATACACAACTAAAAAAGGTGTTTTAAAAAAAAGGAGTGTGCTGGGGCTATAGCTCAGTGGCAGAGCACTTGCCTACACGTGTGAGGCACTGGGTTCGATCCTCAGCACCACATAAAAATAAATAAATAAAATAAAGATATTATGTCCATCTACAACTAAAAAAATAAATATTAAAAAAGGATATAGGAAAGAAAAGTTATTTTCAGGGTTTTATTGTAAGTAGTAATGAGATTATTATTACTATTGAAATCTTTGTTTATTATTTGAATGATTTCTTTTTTTTTATTGGTTGTTCAAAACATTACAAAGCTCTTGACATATCATATTTGATACATTAGATTCAAGTTGGTTATGAACTCCCAATTTTACCCCAAATACAGCTTGCAGAATCACATCGGTTACACATCCACATTTTTACATAATGCCCTATTAGTAACTGTTGTATTCTGCTACCTTTCCTATCCTCTACTATCCCCCCTCCCCTTCCCTCCCATCTTCTCTCTCTACCCCATCTGCTGTAATTCATTTCTCTCCTTGTTTATTTTCCCATTCCCCTCACAACCTCTTATATGTAATTTTGTATAACAATGAGGGTCTCCCTCCATTACCATACAATTTCCCTTTTCTCTCTCTTTCCCTCCCACCTCATGTCTCTGTTTAATGTTAATCTTTTCTTCCTGCTCTTCCTCCCTGGCTCTGTTCTTAGTTGCTCTCATTA